CCTTTTCCAGGCCCTTGCCTGTGAAGGAAGGAGGAGGGCAAGAAAGATGGTATGAAGGGCCGAGCGGGGGGTGATGGTGCCTGTGTAGGGTGAGGAGCTCCGGGAAATATGTTGCTGAGGGAACGATCTGGGGAGAGGAAAAGATGAACGGGTCAGGAGTGTGGGCAACCAGCAGAGCAAGATCCCACAGAGGGAGGGATGCCGTGAGGACCAGGCAATAAGGGAGGTGTGGCTTTGGAGAGGGGCAGGGAGACCCCCTTCCCCAGGGGCAGGAGGGCAGAAAAGTAACTGTGTTTGTGCCTTCTGGTCTTTGTTTCCTTGGAGGAAGAGAGAAGCTGGAGGGTGGGATCTATTTTCCAGGAAGGGGAACTTTCCAGAAGGAATCCAAACAGCTGATTCTGCCACCCTCTGCAGCCAGGCTACTTCATTTATGTCCCCTGGCATGCACTCTCCCCACTATCTATTTATACACCCCGGTTCCCAAAACGATTCTTGTCGAGAAAGGACTCGTGTCTAGCTCTTCTTCTCCCTGGCCTGTGACTGCAAACCCCTGACTCCCACCTCATCTTCTGCCTCACCCCATTTGCCATGACTATGAAGGGAGCCAACTTCTAATTTATTCTCACTCGGGAAGAGTACTTAGGCAATGAACCCGAAACTCAGCCTGGAGTCGGAGTGATGTCTTCACACAGGAATAAGATGTATATCCTGCTGCTGGTATGCCAGACTTGGGTAAAGTGCAATGTGATCCTGAGGCTCTGCTTGGCACGAGGGTGGGGGGCGGCTGGCTTCAGGGCAGCACCTCCCTCCCTTCCTTCTCTCCCTCCTTTCAATAAATATTCATTTGTAGTCCGCCCTGTGCCAGCAAGATCTATAGGAAGGCGATAGAATAGAAACAAAGAGATGGTAGAACGTGCTGGGTGCCCACCCAACAGCTTTCCTAGAGCAGCCTCTCACAAACAGATCTCTGGTTTTGCTCACTCCGGGGCAGTAATGTTGCCCCAGGAGAAAAACCAACACCGCTACAAACCAACCTGGATAACCCATTCATGTGGTCAATGATGACTTGGCAGATAGGGTGGGCTTGTGACCCAGTTCTGATCAGTAGGGCCTGAGGGGAAATAAGCTGGGTGTCCTGCCTTCTTTCCTTGGATGCTATCTTGAGAGAACAAAGTGCTCCAGTCTGAGGGAGTGATTTAGGCACAAGAGGAGAAAGCCAGGCAAAGTACAGAAAAGCTATCTTTTTTTTTTAATTACAAATTTTATTTATTTATTTGACAGAGAGAGAGTGTGTGTGCGTGTGCTCACACAAGCAGGGGGAGTGGGAGAGGGAGAAGTGGGCTCCCTACTCAGTGGGGCTGGATGCGGGGCTCGATCCCAGGACCCCGGATCATGACCTGAGCTGAAGGCAGACCCTTTACCCACTGAGGCACCCAGGCACCCCCAGAAAAGCTATCTTGAGCCCTGACATCACTGAGCTGCTGCATTAGCAACCCTGGTTCTACCCGTCACCAAATTCCATCTTTACTGTTCATGCTCATTTTAGTTGGGTATTCTAGCACTTAAACCCAAAGGCATTCTAACTGCTGTGGGGAGGAAGAAATAAACAATTGTGATTTTCTATCACACGTGGCTCTGAGCCTCCTGGACGCCAAGACAAAAAGGGAAACCAGATAAATTGCAATGCTCTCATTGTTAGTCAGGAAGAGCTTCTCAGGGAGTTTCTGCTTTTTTGCTTCTTAAATTCCTTGTTTGACACTAAATTTCCACGTGGGAGTTTATGAAAGAATCACTAAGATACATAATTGCGAGATAATTGTTTTGCAGGAGAAACAGTTTTTACAAGGCTCTTTCTTAAGACAATGAGTATCTAGATATAAAGGGAAAGTCTAACCAGAGAGGCAAAGAGTGGGCAGGAGTGGAGTGGGCTTTGTGCTGCTCGGATGGTCAAACAACCCCCACCCCCCACCCCCGACAAAAGGAGTAGAGTCCAACATGAATCAGAGCCCACACTGGGGAGACATCAAGATCTATGGGCATTAACACGGTGTGGAAGGCAGAGCTCCGAGAAGGACGGAGAAGGGGAAGACCCCTGACCCACCACTCAGAGGGAACAGCCTCAGGTGGGATTTGGGATGGACGAAAAGGAGAGAAAAGAGAAGTGTGAATGGGAGAAAGTGGAACCAGCTGGGGGACCCTTGGTTTGTAGAAACCTGGGACCGGGGAGAAGTTTCTTGGGGACTGGGGTGAAGGGGTGGGAGGTAGGAAGAGGTCCTATCTTTCCTAGGACCTCTTGTCTGAGATGTTAAAATTTGAGAAAACGTGCAACTAGGCATGGCTGAAGGGTTGAATGTTCACATGCCCGTGAACCCCACAGAGGGACAGAGCGTGCAGCCTGGCCCATCCCATCCTCCTCACTCTAGGGCTCCTGGAGCTCAGCAGCAGCGTGGTCTCCATTGTCCATTGTCACCACTGTTGAGTGCTTACTCAGCAGTAGCAGGTGCTGGGCCAGGGGCTCTGTATGCATGAGCTCCTCTTGGCCTCCCAGGGCCCGGCCCCGGGGACAGCACCATGACTGCTGTTTCCAGCAGAAGATACTGGAGCAACGTGCCGGAGGTGGCACATGAATCGTGGTGAAGCTGGGCTTTGAGTGCATGTTCTTCTCCAATATCCTGAAGGTGGTGCCCATCAGACGTTCTTTGAGGGAGGCCCCCCTGGCCCGCAGGACCAAGCACAGCTCCAAAATGCAATTTCTCAGTAAAGCATTTGTTGCTTAAATGGATGCAACTTCTGCATCGAATTTCTGTCTCAACACACCCGAGGAGGCTGTGTGATGCCCTGTGCTGCCCAGCGGTCCTGGCAGTACTGGGCATTCCTTGGCCCCAGCTGTGCCATTCTGTACTTGCTGTGAAGGGGTCAAGTGTGGGCCCGAGAACACAGAATTCAATAACATCTTCCCAGTGCTGATCCCTCCCTCCTCTTGTCTGATTTGGGAAGATTCTAGTATAAATATTACATCTCTGTATTAGCATTTTCTAAAACTTCTGAAATATGGGGGCATCTGGGTGGCTCAGTCAGTGAAGCGTCTGCCTTTGGCTCAGGTCATGATCTCAGGGTCCTGGATCGAGCCCTGTGTTGGGCTCCCTGCTCAGCGGGGAGTCTGCTTCCCCCTCTCCCTCTGCCTCCCTCCTCTGCTCATGCTCTCGCTCTCTCTCAAATAAATAAATAAAATAATCTTTAAAAAAACCTTCTGAAATACGACCAGACTCCAATCACCTTTCCGGCCCATGTCTTGTCCCCACTAGCCCTCTCACCCTCATCCACCCTGGCCCCTGCCCCAAGCTGTGGGACCCTCACAGGCCATCTGGAGAGCTGGAGCCTAAGGAAGGATTAAATCTCCCTCCCTGCAGGAAGACCAGCCAAGTTTTATTACAGATCCTATCACAGTGCAAGGGCTGGTACTTCTGTGATTGAGCTAATGCTGTCACTGAGTAAATCAACAGGAAACCCACAAGAGGTGATTTGATTTAGGATGTTCATTTTGGGAAGCTGGTCTTCCTCTAACATTGAAGCCAAGACAGTTGTCCAGACACTTCCACAATAAATGCAAAGTTTAGCCCGAAAGGACCAGATCTGTTAATAAAATAAATTCAGATCCCACCAAATAAAAATTCTGATGCATTTTAGGCTCCTTGGTTCAGTGGGCTGAATCCCTTAATCTACCAAATTATTATGGAAAAACCCTTATCTCTGCCTGTCAAAATCACTGCTGTCTTGGGGGGACCCTCTTGGGAGGGACAAGTTGCTTCATAATAACTTAGATTATGTGCAGTGTAGCATTATTTTGAAGAGGGCCACCTACCTGAAGAAGTACAACACAGGATCTGGGACAGAGCCAAGACACAGTCCAGGGGCCAGAAAGATGACAGGTGATGCCCAGATGTGTTGCTGGTAAGTTACAGAGTGAGGCCTCTAATCCAACCCCCTGGCTCAGTCCAGCGTCCCTTCTCTGGGGACAGGTAGGGTGACCTCGGGAAGAGACAGGCTGAGGGTTCTGGCTATGTGTCTGCCTGATAGGGGTGGTGTGATCTCCTCTAGGGCAGCCTCGCTTACCCCAGGGCCTGCTGTCTCTTAAGTGGGTAGGGGCGGGCAAATGTCTAGGGGTGCAAGGGGCCTGCATTCTGCAGTGTGGTGCAGGCCTCGAGTGTCTGCCCAGGGAGCTGACCACGCTTGGCCAGGGGAAGGAAGGTGGGAGAACTTGCATCTAGTGCCGAAAAGAGAAAAACGTGTGGGAAACCAATCCCTGAGTTCCAAGAGGGGCCCCTGGTAGGAGCCCTTGTGAATAAGGATTTGGCTTGTCCCTGTTGGGCCTCCCACCACACCTCCCGTTCTCCCACCTCCATTCAGGGTGACTCACGCCTGCAGAAAGGATGAATCATGTGGGTTACGAAACCAAAGGGCTCCTGAGAGGGAGGCTGGAAAGGACTGGGGAAGCCACCTCCATGGATCCTGCTCTCTCCCCACCCCTCCTGCCCCTCATTGCCGAACCTCTGTGTGCCAAGCCACAGACTCAAGTGAGCTCTACACAGGAATTTCTTCTAGGCACTGAACATCAGATCAGTGGTTTTGCCTTCTCACCTCAAAGACCTCCTGGGCCTATGTTTTGTTTCCTCTCCTGTATTAATCGGGTAAAGGCTTGCTTTCCACATGAGGCCAGTTGGGACCAATAGGTCTTGAAAGTAGTGGGAGAAGAGATCCTGAAGGGGTCCTCGCCTCTCACCATTTGCTCCTTCACAGTGTGAACATTCTGTAATTCTCCAGGGTGCACCAAATAATTAGCTAGTGCATTCTAGGCTGCTCGGGGCAGCAGGGGCAAGGATGATTCAACTCACTTTCCCACTGACTGGTCCCAGCTCAGTGGGAGCTTTTAAGAGTCTACCCAAGTGAACACCTACCGTGTGGCGGGCCCTGAGCTCGTAAACACAAACGTTTATGGGCAGCTTATTGCGTTGCGAGAGCTCATGTCATCCTCAAAACAGCCCTACGGGGTAGATACTATTGTCATCCCCATTTACAGGTGGAGCCCCACGCTCAACAAGGACAGCAACGTGCCCAAGATCACGCAGATACGAAGTGGACAGCTTGGGGATGCACCTGTACCACCTGCCTCCCGAGGTGGGCTGTATAGCCTCGGGGCTGTACCCGTGGGTTTCTCCTGCGCACTCACTGAACCCGGCTAATCTGTCAACTGTCTTTGCCCCACGTAACGTGCCTCTTCAATCAGGCCTCCTTCTGAACCGGGCCATGACTGCCTTTCCGGGTGGCTTCTTTCCCTTAGAACCCAGAGCCCTTGCAAGCCCACCATCTCACACGGAGATGAGCAAGGCCACCCTTAATGGAGATTAAACTCGACCTGGTGAACGAGGCCTCCAGGATGCCCGACGGGTGGGAGGGCGCCGGGGCCTCAGCTCACCAGTCTAGACTCACCTGAGCTGCCCCTGGGGCCCTCGGGGCTCCTGGTAGAACGCGGGGCCAAGGCCGCCGCTCGGGGCCGCCCTGGCCTGCCTGTCCAGAGAGCCCCAAAAGTCTGCGAGAAGTTCCTCGGTGGGGGTGGGGGGCGTTCCGGGCTTCCCGCGCCGCCCGGCCCGCAGCTTGCGCGGGTCCCGGTGCGGGCCGCACGAGCGCGGGCCCAGGGGCGCCACCGGGCCGCGCGGGCGGGAACGCGCCGCGGCCGCCTCCTCCTCCCTCGCTCCCGCCCGCAGCGGTAGCGGCGGCGCTTCCCCGCCGCGGAGCGGCTTTAAAAGGCGGCACCCCACCCCCCGGCGCACTCGCCGCTCCGGCGCCGCGCGAGCCTGCCGCTGCCATGCCTCCGCGCGCGCCGCCTGCGCCCGGGCCCCG